TCTATTTTTTCATACTTTAAACAACACAAAATGTTTAATGCTTAAACCACAAATACTTTAACTCAATTGTTTAAAAAGTTTTAATACTTCTTTAGATGTAAACTATTTACCATTCGCAAAATATTAACAGCTAATTTTCAGTAATTAGCACTACTCTCAAGTTCTGGATAATATATTATGATTAAATAGTACAGTCAATTCTTTGAAGATAATTGCAGAACGTTCGCTCACAGATGGATTTTATTTGAATATTTTAAAATCACTACATAATTTTGGAACTGAAATTCTGACTATAATCAATTTCTTAATACTTTAAACACCAGCAATGCTTAAACCACAAATTAATATTTTCATGTAAACCAACATTTTATGGATGTCAGAAGCATTATTCAAAGGAAGTAGATGTTACATACATAAACAATCATTAAAGAACTGACAAATTCGTGCATCGAGTAGAAAACTCCAGTATTTAAATTTTGAATAGAAAATATTCAAACTACCTGCTGGAAATAAAGGACAGATAAAGTTTACTTACTTCCTTTCCATCTTTAAACCACTTAACAATTGGCGTAGGCTGACCTATTGCGCGACTTGTGAGTTTCACCTAAAGCTCTCCTTCATATAAACTGGCATGTATGTGTATAAAAAGTCACTGATTTAAAAAATAATGCAAATTTGAAAAGTTTCAATTTAATAATGATAACAATAATAATAATATTAATAGTGACAAATCAAGTTATGAAACTATGCCACCTTTTATATTATGATTGCAGAAAAATGAGCCGAATCATTATTTATTTATTCACAATTTTATCTATCACAATTTTATTCAAATATTATCGCGATAACAAACCATGGATCCCTCAACAGTTTCCACTACAGCACTTGGCGCTCGTGTAAATTTAGGTTTACAATATAATGCTTCCTTGATTTCAGCAGTAACCAAATGTTTATCCGGTCCTGAGATATCCACAATGGTTAACATGCACTGTGAGCTCTTGCTGCCAACAACGTTACATGCAGTACACAAGTAAAGGCCAGTATCCTCAGCAGTACAGTTAAAAATTGTCAAAGAGCACCAGCCGTCTTCGGAAAATTCAAGTTTCTGGTGACGATTTGTGCTAATCAGAACACCATCTCTCATCCATGTTATCTGACAATAGTTATTTTTGAATATATGAAGCAATTTCGTTCAAAATCTTTCTGTGAAAAATATAAAAGATAGAAAAAGAAAAAATCACAAAATTTTTTACCAAATTATTTATAAAACTGGCTTATGTCAGTTTGCTAATTCATTAATTAGATATCGAAAATGTTTATGATTATAATATAATGACAGTGTACCTGAGGTTCAGGGTTACCAGTTACTTGACATTTCATTTTCACATCTTTACCAGATAAAGCTGTTCTATCTTCTAACAGGACTTCGAATTTAGGTGCCATTTGCAGAATTCGCGGTAGAACAGTTAGCTAAAAATAGTACTCTAATTTTTTATATTGCAGGAACTCTATTTAATGTTCATAATTACATTTACTGCACATATTTTATTCTCCTTATATGCTTGTACTGATCATACCGAACACGTTGACTGAGCAAATCCAACTGAATTTGTTAAGACGCATCGGTACGTGCCTGTATCACTGCTCTGAGCTTTATGACAAATTAATTTGCATATATCATCTTGCTCATGCATTTCATAACGACCAACGGGACTACAAATAAATTACTATATTGAAGACTGAAGTATCGAGATAAACTCGATCGTCAACATTTTTAAATTCAGACGATCTTCAAATATAACGGTTTGAAATTTATATAATCTCCAAATACAATAGTTTAAAAATGTTATCTTCCAGAAACATTTTTTTTCTGACAATAAATGGATTTTCTTTAATTATTTGAAAAATCAGCAATGAATTTATAATTCAACTATAATGATCAATTTATAATTGGCTACCAATTAAATTAAAATTCTTGATTTAAATCATTAAAAAGTTGATGGTATAAGTAACATACGCTAAACGTTCATCATTTTTGAACCATGATATGACACCTTTTGGACATGATTGAATTTCACAAGTTAGTATAAATTCTTGACCAGTAGTTGTAGTTTCATTTGATAATGGTTTTACAACTCGTGGTGCTCCCACTAAATGCTCAACTTGTATTTCTTCAAAAACTTCTTCTCTTGTTGAAACTTCAACCTAAATGGAAGCTGCTTACAACAAATAGAATGTATAAAAATAAAATGACTTTATTTAATCCAGTGATATCAATAAAACAGTTCTATAAAATGAAAATGCAACATTGTCAACGATAATATTATTATCTTTTATAATAACTACAACTGAGCTTGTAGTCCACTTTCAGAAATGATCTATCGAAAAAAATGCTCAACTTTCTGAACATTAAAAAGTTATATATTTGTCTTTTACTAAATATTATCGTACAGAATTTTGTTTCCTCTTACTCAAATATATTCTGAAAAAGATTTACCTGTTGTATAATGCGTGTTTCAGAAATGGCTTCACCAGTTTCATTAACAATATGGCACGAATAAATGCCAGTGTGGATAATTGGTTTAGGATTTCTGATAACTAATTTGCTTGATCTATCAGAAAGCTTGACAACAGTAATGTTATTCATTTTAGATGATATTTCGATACCATTATAATACCATTTAACAGATGGTATTGGGTCACCACTGTATTCTGCTATCAATTCAATATCTTCTTCATTGAGTACAATCTGAGTAGGAGGCAAACTTTCAAACGTTGGCTTTCTACCAAGAGGAAGTGTCGTAATAACTTCTGACGTTGACGAATATGCTCCTTGTCCAGCCTAAATTTTTAAATTACTGCACAAGTTAGACGCAAAGCTTTTTGAGAAAGTTTTTAATAAGCAAACAGTACTTCACCATAATATTTTTTGATAAATTTTAAATATAATTCACTTACTTTATTTTTAGCTGCTACACGAAATACATACTCGGTGTTGGGTTGTAAACCAGTAATCAGAAGTTGTGTCTCTCTACTCGCACCCACAACAGACCAAGTTTGGTCATCCGGCCTGAAAAGCGTGCAAAATGAGCAAATTTGCAAGGTTGTTAAGAATACTTTAAATTATTAATCACAAATGGCTGATAATATAGTGCTCAGCTCGCCGATGAATAAATTAATCTTTCCATTCAAGAAAAGAGAAATAAAATTTTACAAACTTTGAAATTTCCTATTAACAAAGTATCAAACAGCAATTAAACGATATCGACATTTAATTTACATGAATTTCTTGCTATTTCAATGTTAATTTTACCTTCGCTGCTCAATAATATATTCTTCAACTTTTGCCTTATCATTAGATGCTTCCCACTGCAGCAGTAGACTATTTTTATTAAGATGCGCAGCAAAGGGTTTACCAGGAGGTAATAAACCAGTTTCTTCGATAACAGTTAACTTTCTACAAAATGCTAATTTATCACTAGGCTTTATGTTAGCATGCATTTTTAATACTTAATACAATAAGCACCTTTAAAGATAAATTTTGATTAAAATAATCAAATACAAAATTGCACTTCAATAAAGTATCAAGTATAAATTTACTCTTTTGGAGTAACATTGACTTGAATATCAGCACGAATTTTTCCGCCTATGTTTTGAGCTTCTATTGTATAAATGCCTTCGTCTTTGGATGACACAGAAGAAATTATAATTTGATGGCTAATGCCTTCTTTTCTGATAATAACACGATCATCACTGATTACAGAATGTTCTTTAAACCAATAAACTGCAAAAAAAATGCTAAAAAACTAATATAATTTAATTATGCTTCATTTTGATGTAAAATTAAAATGTTTTCTTTGATGGCATCTACAGATGTTAATAACTTTTTGAATAAAATTTATTGCGAGGAATTTCATGCAATCTCATGGTGTGAATTTGTAAATGAAAATTCTAATAATCACTTTCTGGTTCAGGTTTGCCATCGATACCACAAACAATAGATAGCACAGAATCTTCCTCAACCACTAGATATGATCTTGGCTCGATGACAAAGAAAGGCTTTTTCATAACTGTTGTGACTTGCCCTTCAATGATATCATAGTTAACAGTAATCTTAATAATGTGAATACAACACAGTGCATTGTCAAAAACAAGTAGTTAAAGCCTTATTACCATCAAGTGATATTTCAGCACTTGTGTGAGCATCGCCGTAAACATTACGTGCCAGAGCAGTATAAGTACCACAACTTTCTGACGTAATGTTCAAAATTTCCAGTAAAGAAACACCATCATCAAATGTGCGGATGCGTTTCTGAGCATTCGTTTTAATAACCTTTCCATTTAGAAGCCACTGTATTTCAGGTTCTGGCTGACCTATGACCTGAAAGTAAAAAAATTCTGCTGATGAGTTCAGTGCAGTAATATGCAAAAAATTGTTTGAATTTAGACAGCTGGAACTTTTCAATGTTTTCCTTTACTGAGCATTTTTCTTCGGTACTATCAAGCAAATTCTACTACAGCACCATCTTTGATATATTTTAAAAAATGAGCTTAGAATTTTAACATTCAAATGAATGCTTACTTTGCATTTCAGTGTTAAAGTATCGCCTTCATTTTTAACTTTTATACTACGCAATTTTTCGCAAAATTCTGGGATTTTTGGCACTTCAGCAAAAGTTTTGCCTGAAAAGCAGCGAATAAACCGATTACAGCACAGAAAAAGCTACTTAAAATGTTACAAAACTTATGGTGTTACGTTTGTTAGTATAATTGAAAAATATTATTAAAACCATTTTGAAGCATAAACTTGATCACTCTTTAGACTACAGATTAGCTCTTCTGAAACAAAAATATACTTTCATCAAGAAGGACACTGCATCGCGTTTCAGCACTTCCAAGTTTGTTCACAGCACGACAGATAACCTCTCCTTGATGTTCACTATGGACTTCACTAATTTCAAGAATTGCCAAATGTCCATCAAAGTGGCTTCTGATAGCAGAACTTTCTTGCAGCAACTTACCATTCAAAAGCCATTCTATCATAGGTTTCGGATGCGCATCAACTTCTACTTCTAATATTTCACGACTACCTATAACACAATACCATTGGAGTTCATTTTTAAATCCCAAAATTTTGTCTCTTTCTCTCAAAAAAACAATAGTTTTATTTTTATTAATTATAACCTTTAATAAGTTCAATTACCAATCATTGAAATTGATAAGGTCAAAAAAAGATAAAATTTCAACACTTTTGTTCAAGTAGTTCTGACAAAACAAATTAATACCTTCATTAAATACAACATCATGTAGAGGAGCAGTGAATACCGGAGCTTTTGTTTCATCTTCTAAGGCAGTTGGTGATGTTGATTCTCTTTCTCTTTCTAAAGCTGATCCCGAAGCCATGTCTCAAATTCATATCATTAAAATTGCTGAAGTTTGTAAACTTACTGAGAATAGCTTTAAGATTCATAAGGTTTCACATATGTACTAGGTTTAAATTTCAAAAGAGCAAAATATTTATTCATTAATTCGTACTAAATATACACTTCAAAAATGGCAAGAATCTATGAATCTGTAAACATACCAATAACTTTCACAATACACTGGCTCACATCTTTTCCAAATGCATTCACCGCTTCACATAAATATTCACCACTATCATTTGCAGTAACATTCATGATATTAAGCCGTACATTACCTAAATATGAAAACTATTCATCACTGTCTTCCAAATTCAATAAATAGCATCTTGCATATCATAAAACAGTACCATTATGATAAGAGCAGTGTAGCATTCGATTTTCAAACAACAACTTTTGTCCATCTTTATACCAGGTTATAACTGGTTCAGGTAATCCAATTACTTTACATCCAAGAACAACTTCCGACCCAGAGATCGTTGATGTTTCAGTGAGTGGTATTTTGAAGTATGGCTTTATATTTATTGCTCCCGATGCTAAATCGAGTAGCTAGTTAGTTAGTTAGTTAGATAAAAAATATTTGTAAACAACAAAAAAAGTGATAATCTAATAGGTTACAATACTTACGTTTTATATGGACAGAACATTCTGAAGCTGAACTTCCATTCATATTTTCCGCTACACACTTGTAAACTCCAGCATCTCCCAGCTTTACAACGTCTTTTGTCAATGTACACAGACCTCTTTCAAACTGCAAATCAATGAGTTTAAAAAATTTACTTAAAAACGATTAAAAGTACTCGAAATTTAGACATTTGCTACAAAGAATTAAGCTTTTCATACAAAATAACCTTGATAACGAAGTCATTATCGATAAGCTTCTTGCCATTTTTGAACCATTGCAATGATGGATTCGGAGTGCCTGAAATAAAATACCACTTACCACAAAAAAATCATTGAATCTTTCAGTAATCAGAAAAATTATTATTAAATGTCGAGTTTCACACGAAAATTCAAAAGCACAAACCAGTAACTGCACAAGCCAGCGTCATCTTGCAACCTTCAGAAATTTCATTGTCTGTTAATGGCATTTGAAATACTGGAGCTTTGTCATCTAGTGTAACACGCACACGCTTGTTTACAGTGAGGTTACAGTATGTTTCAGCAACACCAGCAATATTCTTCGCGATACATCGATACACGCCACTGTCCTTAGGAATAGCAGGCATAATACTGAAGGAATATGAACCATCTACTTGATCGGCTTTAAGTTTGTATCGTTCTTTTTCATACAACTCGATATTTTCGAAGTACCAAAGAATCTGAGGCTTCGGATTTGCTCGCACACCTACTTCAAGTGTCACTTTTGAACTTTCTTCACATTCTATATTTTCAAGTGATTTAGTGAATTGAGGAACTGTGAAGTCGGCTGGTTTAATAACAGTTATCTGACATTCACTTTCACATTGGCCATCCGAGTTTTGAGCAATAACTTTCCATCTACCAGAATCCAGCGCTTCACATGAAATTATTTTTATGCCATAACGATTGTTCTCTCTTTTGATGATGAAGCGCGAATCATTGATATCGATGACTTGCTCGTTGCGGTACCACCGAACTTGCGGTTCATGAACTGAATTCACTGCTACAAAAAGTTCAACAGAATCACCCAGATTCACAGTTACATCTACGAGTTTGGAATCGAATTCAATCTCAGTTCTTGCCAATTTTTTCTTCCTTTCTCTTCTTGTTCTCTTCTCTTCTTCTGCTATCTAAAACTCGATATGATAAAAAGTTGTTTATTCTTAACAAAAATTATGAGTTCATTTATTAAGAATACATAATTTTGGACTCTTGTATATGCTAATGTTTAATTCAGACAAAATCAAAGTTTGAAATTGACTGCAAGTCATTTGAATCTTGCAATTTCTATCAATGTCCAATAAAAAAAATAGATGTTTGAATTGTTCAGTCCTTGCAATGTGTCCGTTTACTTCATGCAATCTTCGCTTGTTTGTAGGCTGACTAGAGGCATTGTTTGCACAATGCTTTTGAAGAAAAACTGCATGAATAGTGAAAGTTTAAATAAAACGCATTCCACTTCCTGAGTTTCACCGGATAATCGCAATGTTTGTTACTAAGTAGGAGATTATAACACAAGTTGTTCAAAATTAAAAGCAAAATTATTGTTGGTGAAGTTAAAAATTACGCAAGGAAATGGTTTTCAGCTTAGGATTGAATGGAAAAGTGATTTTTTTTGATTTTGAGATTTAGATTGCGTATATTTCCAACTGCCAATTTAGACAAAAAAAGAAAATACTCGGAAGTTTTGGAATGTACTCTTGCCATCTGAAAAATGCCTACATGAAATTTTTTGATTTACTTTTCCTTAAGCTTTTAATATATTAAAATTCAAACAATTTCAATTTGAAAACTATCACTGTACAACTGATTATGTCTACACTTCTATTACATTATTATTCTATTGCTACTTACTTTTGGTTGGAGCTCATGCAGAGCATCGAATTCTGATGGTTTCTCGCTGATGAACAATTCATCCTTAATTATTTGCACTTCTTCTTTCTCATCCTTACTCAATTTTTCATCTCCAATGAAAATCTACAAAAAAGTTAGTCAATTCAAACAATTGCTAATAAGAACTGCTCATGTAGATTAGTATTGATACTACTGATAAATAGATATTGTAATTAAATTAGTCATTAACCATTTTTCATTATGATTACTAACATATTTTTAATCCTCATTACGTCTCAAAGAATATAAGTTTTCATTAGCCACAATTTGAAAATGTGATTTAATGAACAATTGAAATTGCGTCTGACCAAAAATTGCGATTTCTTGTTGTTTTTTAAATATTCCACTGCATGGTTAGAAAAAATCATATAGTCTCTTAAATGTTTAATAATCTTAAATTTTTTGAAGAGAACAAAGCTTGCTAAATTAATAATGCCCAAAGTGAGCTAAAATTGATTA